ACACACAGGGCTGTAGCCAAAAATATGCAGCCGTTGGCATAACCACATCCAGCGAGGTGATGCAGTGGCCAATCAAGTGCAAGCAAGCGAACACTTCTGAAGGATTGCATTGTATTCCTAAGGTTAACCGTGTAATTACAAAAAGAAAGAAGTTGCAAGCGTGATAACTTTTCACAGTTTTAAAATTCTGTCTGGGTGTTTTGTCGTCTGTTAAGCCTTTAAACCTTAAAGTCATTTATTCGCAGAATTTTACTACGGGGATCAATAAAAGTCTGTCTTATCTTTACCACAATCTTTCTCTTAAATGTACTGGTAGTTGCCATGTGAAAATATTCGGGAAATTGTGGACAGAGATTATTATTTTTTGAAACACTGCTTTTGAAACTGTTTTACAGGATTGTCCGATAGGCTTTGTCTTCCTGTCCTTCTTCATCTCCCTGTGCCTCCATTTATCCTTTTCTGGGTCTTTTTAGCCCTTAACTTTAATAAAATAATCAAAATGTTTTGTAAACCTTGCAATTCAACTTTTTTGCTGGATTTTCCTAAATGTACAATTTAGTTTGTAGTATATTTTTACAAGTTGTTTTTAGTCATTAGTCCCTTGATCTGTCCTTCTTCTTCTCCATGTTCCACCATCCCTCCTTTAATCGGCCATTTTGACCTCTGTAATGGCAATAGAGTATATAGATAATGAAGCACTAATGTATATTATAATGTATATTATAATGTGTTTCCATTAAAAGATATCCTGTATCACCTGTGAAAAAAATGACCTTGTCTTTAATGACATCACTTAAAGGTGGGGTAGGTAATTCACTTCAGAAACCATTTTTGTTATATTCCATGGAATGCTCTTAACATCCCGATAGCAATCAATATATTAAATGCTTTGACAATAAATACATTAAAAAAAATGTAATCTGTGGAAGCCGTGGCGCTGTAAAAAGCACGGCTAAAATAACTGGATGGCCTACCTGCCTGTCAGCCTTCCATCTCGTGCACAAACTTATCTCGTGCCCTCATTGGTCATGTGCGCGTTCGTGTGTGTTGGAGGAGGGGCTCTATAAGGAAGTCTGAAGGAAGGGGCAGATTCTTTTCGGTTGTGTACTTTCAAATTCTAGCGCACTTGAGCTGGTTTCTCCATTCTTACCTACCCTACCTTTAAAACCAGGTGTATCTAGGAATAGAATATTAAAAAATGATTTCAATTTGTTTTGAGTACTAGTAAAACTGAATTAGTTGGTTAATTGTTGATCATTTACAGTCATTGGTGGTATTTAAAGTTGATTACAACCAGAAGTTTGACAGTGAAAGCAACTGTTACTGTTGTATGCCAAATCTAGCTTTCCTGATTTACAAGGAATACACAGATGTTGTCAAGGGAAGTGATTGTGTGTGGGATTTGGTTCCCCTGGGCCTGGAGACTGACAGTTGAACATTGTTCTCACAGAAACATATCTCTGGCTTCATAAATGACTTTCCCAGTCATGATGAGGATGTCAGGACTGAGCAATTGCTGTCTGAACTATTACTCGTCTCTTTGGGAGTCCACCAAGGTTGTGTGCTGGGCCCGGGAACATTTTATCCACGGCTGTCCAGTAATGTTGCAACCTGGGATTTACCTTCTTGTCCAACTTAATATTCCTGATGTAGACTGTTTAAGGACACGTTTTTTTAAACATCTCTGTACATCTTAATTAAAGTGAAGAACAATGGTAGATCAATTGCAGACAGTACCATAAAGTATTGTCCTTAACAATTTAACTGAAAACTCATCCAGAGAAAATTAAAGGTTGCAGTTTTGTCCGTATTGAACATTTTAAAAGGGTCAAAGTTCTTAATGCCACTCTAAGTCACAGAAATGGACGCTTAAAACACACATTTAGTGGAACAGTAATATTCAACTTGTAGCTCACTGTAACTTAGATTTGTTTATACGCCATTTTACCAACCTGTAGGAGCTTCAATCATTGTCTTTTGTGCTGGATTTTCCTACATTTTCAAGGAAAACTTCTGTAATTTTCCACCTGGACTATTTGTTCACCTGTTTTTCGTATCTACAGTAGGTGGGGAAAACAGTTTTTGAAATTGGTCCCATTTTGAGCCAAAGCAGGGAAACATGCTGCAATGTAATCCTTCGGGCAATTGAACAGCGTCGACTTAAAGTGCTTTTTTTGGCCACTGTTGGGCTCCGATTGTTGTTTTAGACCGTTTTAACGGAATTTTATTGCTTGGCAACAGCCTGGGTCCATCCATGTTTACTTCCTGTTAGCTGATGTCATTCACATACACAAACGAGGAACCTCTAAAATGTTATAGGTTCCCTCGACTGCAACAAAAAAAACCTGCAACAGGAAATGAATTGGGTCATATTAAGAATGTTTGCATTAGCCGCGAACATAGTCTATAAGAGTCTGACAACATTATGGAATAGACTCTGTATAGACATTTTTCTTACTCCTTATTTTATTTAGTCTGAATGTTATTCTGTCTAATCACT